CATCTGTAAAATGGAGACAATGATGGAGATAATGATTTACAGAGTTTCTATAAGGATTAAATGAGAGAATACATCATATTTAGAACAGTGCCTAGGACACAGTAAGAATTTAGTGAAGTGTGAGATGTTATTGTTTCAACCTTAAACTTCTTTGTATTTTTATATTTAAGGTACATTGGCTATAAGTAGCATATTATCAGATTGTGTTTTTCTAAAAATCTAGGTTTTGTCTCTTTTTAAAATCATCTTTAAAGTATAATCTACATACAATAATAGTCACTAATTTTAAGTATACAATTCAGTGAATTTTGTGGAATACCTGCAGTTATATAAGCACTACCACAATCAAGCTGCAGAACATCACCCCCCAAAATCTTCGTGCCCCTTTGCAGTCTATCCCCTCCCCACGTGGCCCTTAGCAACCACCAATCTGCTCTTTTTCACCATAGTTTTGCCTTCTCTAGGATTTCATATAAATGGAACAATACACTATGGGACCATCTTTGTCTTTTATGGACAATTTTATTCCATTTACATCCAATATAGCTACTCACATCGTTGGGTGTAAGTCTAACATCTTACTGTTTGTTTTCTATTTGTCTCACTGATTCTATATTCCTTCTGCCTCATTTTGGATAAATTAAATACCTTTATTATTTCATTTCTGTTATCTCACTAGTTATATATTCATTTATTCTTCTTTCTGTGGTTATCAGAGCAATGGTTCTTAAACTGGGCCCTTGGCCAGCAGATTCAACTCACCCAGATTCTTGTTAGAAATGAAAATTCTCAATTCCCATCCTGGAATCATAAACTATGAGGGTGGAAGCCAGCCGTCTGGGTTTATCAAGTCCTCCTGGTGATGTTGAGACTGGCTAGTTTGAGAACCACTGGCTGAAGACAACTTTTGCTTCTGGCAAACAGCAAGGTTATATGCAGATCACCTTAATCCAGTTAGGAGCAGAGCTGATTTAAAGCGTGGTTTCTGTCCTCAGGAGGGCTGATCTGTTACTGGTTTTTTCTACTCCTGATGGGTAGCCCTAAGGTGGTCCCAGTTGGAAATGGACATGTTTACTGGAACACTTCTTCCTTAACCATCCCTGAACTCCACTTTTCCTCCCTGCTGGAAGAGGGGAAAAGTATTGCCAAAGGTCAGGCTCACCTGTCCTTAGCACCTTGATCCCTCAAGTTCTTACTTCCTTGGTGACTGTTCAGTGCCTTCAAAGTTTCCCTGGCTTTCGTAGGCAGGTTTGTGTGACACAAGTTAGTCTGCAACTGCTGGAAAAGAAGCCCTCCGTCCTATTGTTATTTTCCCACTAGAATTAGAGTCAAAATGAGCATTTAGAACAGTTCAGTTCCTGGCACGTGGCAAGAAAGTCAGTAAGTATAAGTTCTTCTTCTTTCTTCTCCCAGTAGAATCCTAAGGTCGTCTTGAGCTGAGCTGTTAAAAATCAACCCCTTCTACCCTTACCATACATTTTAGAGAGAAGCAAATGGATGTCACACTGCGTGACTGGACTCCAGTGCAATCAGACTCCCTTGGGAGGCTCTATTTGGATGGCTTCCTGTCCCTTGTCTGGGAGGTGGCAGTGTGCTCTCCTTCCCCAGATCATCACGGCACACTCAAGAGCCCAGCTTGGTTCTCAGCTCACAAGGAAACAAGCCAGGGACCGTGGCTTCACAAACCCACCTCTCCCGTCTTCTGGCCTGGCCCAGACCTCCAGCCACGACCACACCTTTGGAGCAATCTTCCTACGTTCAGAATCCCAGACATCACATGCCTTTCCTCTGGAGCAGAGTGCACAGCTGCACACACATGCACACACACAGAAACATGCTCACCAGCAAGTGAGCATGTACACAGTACCATCCACAGTGCGGAAGGACCACAATCCAGGTGAGACCAGGCAGCCGAAGTGGAGATGAAAATTGCTCTGCATTGAATGCTAGTCCCTTATTCCAGGGAACAGAGGGAGGAAACCAGAAGCAACAGACCGAAAGATCAGGCCAGGCCAAGGACAGAGAAGACTGGGCAAGAGCCAGCCACCACCTCCTGCTGGCCAGGACTCAGAGCTGAGTCCCCAGAGTCAGACCAGTGAACTCCTGTGTGATCCTAACGGGTGACAGAAAGAACATGACCTGTTAAGAGAATCATGACCCTTAGCCGGACCGTGGGCAGGTGCTGCAGCCTGTGACTTGGCTGCTTTATGAAAATGGGTGTGTGAGACTGCGTATGTGTGCTTCCTGCCTCTCTGTGCCTATTGGACAGGGGGCAGGTTTTGATGCTGTGCCCGGCCTCATTCCTTCTCAGAAGGAATGCCCCAGCCTGGGGAGGTTTTAAACTGATTTTAGATAATTTGGCTCAGAAGAAATCCATTAATTTTTTTCTGATTTAAAAGTAGTGCATGCTCATCGTAAAAAATGAATGTGGAAAACAGAAAAAAAATGTGGTGTAAAAAAAAAAATGAAAAGCACCTGTGCTCCCACCCCTGGAGATAATCACTGTTGACATTTTGGCGGAGTTGAGATCACATGCACATTCAGTGTTCTTTTTTCCCTTCTCACTGAATCTACAGAGAGCATTTTCTCATATTACTCCTTTTTTTGCAAACCTGTTTGAAGGCCCTGTACCATTCTTTTTGCACCATAATTTATTTAACTTGCCCCCAACTATTGGACATTCAGGTGACTTCCAGATTGTCCTTATGGTGGAAAACCCAGGCTCATATACCTGTGTGAGTGAAGCGCCAATTTCTACTTTAAGGCACAACCAGGGCATGTGTTGGGGGATGGGGGACACTGATCCAGGAAAGGGTGCATGGCTTGGGTTTCAGAGGTTCAGCTGTGTATACTTTGACCAATAGAGGGTGGCTGGCAGGAATTGGGTGATGGGCTGGGACACAGCCACCCCTGCCAGCCCTGGATAAGGGCCCTCCCAAACACCCCTCAGAGCTCCAAGTCCTGACTCCTGGTCACAAGTATCCTCCTTTGCCCCTAGGGGATGACAGTGCGGCCTCTCGGTGAGGCAAGGCATAGGGCAGGGGTGAGTTTGATGCATTCATCTGTTCTGAGGATCCTAGGGCTGGTCTCCCCAACCCCACTCCCTCAGAAAGGCCCCTGCCCACCTCTGCCCACATGGATGGAAGCCCCGAGAGTAGGTGAGGTGAGCAGGGGCAGGGGCCAGGTGGAGGGGCAGGCCTGGGATAAGGCAGACAAGAGGGAGTTGGGAAGCCGGGCAACAACCCCTTGGCTCCGTGGATCATCTGGCAAATAGATGTCTTGCCTTCCCTTTGCCTCCCTGACCCTGCTGGAGGGGCTGTGGTGGGGAAGGTGAGCTCTGCACCCCCTGGGCTCATCTGAGTGTGCTCATCCATTCCTGACTACTGAAAGAGGACAGGGAGTGGGGGAATCTCACTTCTGGAGGGCTCCTCAATCTATGGAATTTTGGTATATTAGTGCCACCATCGACATCGGTGGGTGTTTAATCCAACTCCTCTGGTTCCAAATGGGGAAACTGTCAGGTCAAAAAGCTAGTGTCGATCAGGAATGGAAACTCTGCGTATCTAACTCCCAAACCCACAAGCCTGTGGTCACATGTCCTTTAGCTCCACGTCCATGGCTCACATCTGCTGGTGGGGGGAGGTTGTGACAGGGGCTCAGAAGCTGCCCTGGGGAGTTACAGGGTCCAGCCCTGCTGGGAATCAGCCCAGAGGAGCCCAGGCATGAACGTAACCTTGTGAGGCCTCTGCCTTGGATGCCCAGCTCCCCATCAGCAGCAAGAAGCCCCTCCACGTCACTGTAGTCCAAGGGCTCCCCTCCCTGCATGTCTGACCTCTGGAGAGGAAGGAGGAGAGAGCAGCAGTGAGGCCTCTGGGTTGATGAGCATGCTTCCCCCCAGAGAGCAGTGACCTAATCCCTCCTCCAGATCCCAGAATTCGCCTTAGAAGGGAGGTGAGCCTAAGGAGCATCCCCTAAGACCATACTTGGGGAGAAGCGCCAACACCAGGAAGAGCTGACCTCTGTGAGCACGTGGCATGGGGCGAGCTCTGAGCTAAATGTGGGCCCACCCAACCTGAGAACAAATCCTCTGTCCATGCAGCATCCCACCTGCCACCGATCCTGACAGTATCTCCCAAGGCCCACTCCCGTGTCTCCATCTGCTCACCATAGAGTCTCAGTGGTCCTCAGTTTATCACAGAAGCCATGGCAAAGTCTCCTATCCATGAGACAGTCAGTCCAAGCCACCCCACACACACAGCCACAAGGAAGGCTTCAGGACCCAAATCTCATCCTATCAACCCTGCCAAGGCCCCTGAGGGCCCCTTTGACCTCAACAGGGCTGCACTGTCTGGCCCCGCAGTACATCTCACACCTTTCTCTGTACCTGCAGCCACACCAGCCTCATCTCTGGCTCTCAGACCAACCAGATTTTATCCGCCCACTGCGTGAAATGTGCACCTTCTCCTCTCGCCTTGTCAACCCATCTTCTTCCTTCAGATCTCAGCTCCAAAGCCTCCCCTTGCACCTCTGTGTCAGTTCTATCTGTCGTATATTCCAACACCCTCTGCTGTACTTCCCCTTCAGGGCAGGCGTCTTCCCCAGACTGTGAGCTCTGGGAGACCAAGTGTGCAGCCTTCTTCCTCTGCCTGCTTCATCCCCAGCATCTGTACAGCACCTGGCCATTGCTGATGCTCAGTGGTGATGCGGTGAATGGATAAATGAATGACCCAGCTCTATGAGGTAAGTTCTGCTGCAAAGAAATGGAGGATCTGAGTTAAATAGCCAGCTCAAGGTCTTGCGGCTGGCCGGTGGTACAGGCAGGGTCCAGGGCAAGTCAGACTGCAGAGTCTGTGCTCTTCACTACTTCTTGTCCTTCATCCAGAATGCCGGCCACAGTGTCTGTCTGTCTGCTCTCCCCAGCAGGCCCTCTGAGGACGGCTCAACTGGCCACCAAGTCCCGGGGTTCTGGGGCTCGCCTCCCCGGAGCTGCCCCCAGAACCATGGAGAGTCTGAGTGAGCTACAGAACCCACTGCTGCCTCGGAGCCCCACACATCTCCATGGCCCCGGCCCCTACCCCTACCCCGAGGCTTCTCCTGCCTGGCCCTGCCGGGAGAAGATCTATTCCTACCTCCTGGGTGGTGCTGACCCTGCGCATGCCCACCAGCTCCTGGACCCCGGGTCCCTGCAGCTGGCCGTGGAGGCCTGGTACAGGCCCAGCTGCCTCCTGGGGAGGGACAAGGTCAAGGAGCCCAGGGCAGGCAGCTGTGAGACCAGCTTCACAGAGGGCAGGGAGCCCCCGGCTGGGCCTACGGAGCGGTCCACGGAACCTGGCCAAGTGGAAGAGGATGTCGCCATCCAGACTGTGTCCTACGGGGTTCAAGAGGAGCTCCAAGGCCAAGAGGGTGACCCGGAGGAAGAAGAGGTAAGCACGTGCGTGTAAATGCAGATTCTCAGGCCCACCTCTGGGTACTGAGATTTTGCAGGCCTGGCTTGGGCCCCAGGAATCTGTATTTTACTAAAGAAAAGGCCCTCTGACACAGATGCTAGCTACACTTTGAGAAACACTAGTTAAAGCTGACAGTTTAATTTTTTTTTTTTTACTATTTATTGCATTAAGGTATCTTTCTATTGAAGCACTTGTACAATATTACGTGAGTTTCAGGTGTACAACATAGTGATTCACAATTTTTAAAGGTTATGACTATTTGACTTTTTTTTTTGCGGCTGGCCGGTGGTACAGGCAGGGTCCAGGGCAAGTCAGACTGCAGAGTCTGTGCTCTTCACTACTTCTTGTCCTTCATCCAGAATGCCGGCCACAGTGTCTGTCTGTCTGCTCTCCCCAGCAGGCCCTCTGAGGACGGCTCAACTGGCCACCAAGTCCCGGGGTTCTGGGGCTCGCCTCCCCGGAGCTGCCCCCAGAACCATGGAGAGTCTGAGTGAGCTACAGAACCCACTGCTGCCTCGGAGCCCCACACATCTCCATGGCCCCTACCCCTACCCCGAGGCTTCTCCTGCCTGGCCCTGCCGGGAGAAGATCTATTCCTACCTCCTGGGTGGTGCTGACCCTGCGCATGCCCACCAGCTCCTGGACCCCGGGTCCCTGCAGCTGGCCGTGGAGGCCTGGTACAGGCCCAGCTGCCTCCTGGGGAGGGACAAGGTCAAGGAGCCCAGGGCAGGCAGCTGTGAGACCAGCTTCACAGAGGGCAGGGAGCCCCCGGCTGGGCCTACGGAGCGGTCCACGGAACCTGGCCAAGTGGAAGAGGATGTCGCCATCCAGACTGTGTCCTACGGGGTTCAAGAGGAGCTCCAAGGCCAAGAGGGTGACCCGGAGGAAGAAGAGGTAAGCACGTGCGTGTAAATGCAGATTCTCAGGCCCACCTCTGGGTACTGAAATTTTGCAGGCCTGGCTTGGGCCCCAGGAATCTGTATTTTACTAAAGAAAAGGCCCTCTGACACAGATGCTAGCTACACTTTGAGAAACACTAGTTAAAGCTGACAGTTTAATTTTTTTTTTTTTACTATTTATTGCATTAAGGTATCTTTCTATTGAAGCACTTGTACAATATTACGTGAGTTTCAGGTGTACAACATAGTGATTCACAATTTTTAAAGGTTATGACTATTTGACTTTTTTTTAAAATGTGAACCATTTTCAAAGTCTTTATTGAATTTGTTAGAATATTGTTTCTGTTTTATGTTTTGGTTTTCCGGCCACAAGGCATATGGGATCCTAGCTCCCTGGCCAGGGATTAAACCTGCACCCCTTGCATTGGAAGGTGAAGTCTTAACCACTGGACTGCCAGGGAAGTCCCCTATTTGACTCTTTAATAGCATTTTTTGTTCTTTTTTTTTTTTTTCCAGTTCAATCGAGATATAATTGTTATGTAACATTAAGGTATACAACGCCATGATTTGATTCATGTATGTATCACAAAACGTTTACCACAATAAGGTTAGTTAACACACCATTTACCTCGCCTAATTGCCATTTTGCTGTTGCTATAAGGAGAACATTTAAAATCTATTCTCATAGAAACTTTCAAGTATATAATACATTATTATTAACTACAGTCACCACGCTGTAGCAGATCCCCAGAACTTATTCCCCTTATAACTGAAAGTTTTCACTCTTTAACCAACTTCTCCTCATTGTTCCTACTCCCTAGCCCCCAGCAACCACCGACCTACTCACTGTTTCTCTGAATTCAGCTTTCTTGGATCCTACATATAAGTGAGATCAAATGGTATTTGTCTTGGGCTTCTTTCACTTAGCATAATGTATCAAGACTCATGTTGGCCCAAATGGCAGGATTTTCTTCTTTTTATGGCTGAATGATAGTCCCTTATACATATAGATAAACATTGTCTTTGTCCACTCATCCCTCCATCTATGGACTTCTGGTCTTTGAGGAAAGTTCACCTGGTTCTTGTTTTCTTAATTATATAAGCAATTTAAAGTCAATGCAAAAAATTATTCAAAGATAGCAATTATTTTAGTGAATGATCTTCCAGTCTTTTTACTTACATTTTTTTCTACCTCCCCCGCCCCAAAAGAGTTCTTGCTATACATATTTTTGTAACTGAATTTTCCTCTCTAAGCAACCCATTGGCTCCACATAATCTAATATTTTCTACCAAGGTGAATTTTAAGGGTTATATGGTATCCCATTATAAATTCTTCCACCACTTATTAACCCAATCTCCTGGTCACTGGGCATTGAGACTGTTCCTGATCTTTCACAGTTACTATCCTATAATGAACATTCTAGTACATGTATACTTGCTCATGTATTCTTGCATGTGTATACTTGTAGTCTTTCCTAGTGATAAATCCCCAAGGGTGGAATCATTGAACCATTGTCAAGGTTTTGGTAGAGAGCCCGGAGCCCAACCCACACTCCCACTCACAACAGATCAGTCTGCCCGCTGCCCCACGCCACTGCCGATGGGTGCTCCGGGCCAGGTCACAAGAGCGCACTCATGTTTTGCAGAGCGACGCCACATCAACGGAGAGTGAAAGTGAAGACAACTTCCTTACGCTGCCTCCCAGGGACCACCTGGGTCTCACCATCTTCTCCATGCTCTGCTGCTTCTGGCCCCTGGGCATCGCCGCCTTCTACTTCTCCCAGGGGGTAAGAGGCTTCGTGGGGGCCTAGGGCTTCTGCTCTGGCCACCCTCCCTCCCCGGGGCACCTGGGGTCAGGGCCTGGGGGGCTGGGGCTATTTTGCTGGGCATGGGGATGTTCCTTTTCACCAGCACCTCTCTCTCCCTAGACCAGCAAGGCCATCTCCAAGGGGGACTTCCGCCTGGCCAACACCACCTCCCGCCGGGCCCTCTTCCTGGCCACACTGTCCATCGCCGTGGGGGCTGGTCTCTATGTGGCCGTGGTGGTGGCCCTGGCAGCTTACATGTCCCAGAATGGCCACGGCTAGTGGCCAAGAAGGTCTGGCATCCTGATCCCCTACTCTGCCTGAGGGGGCAGAGAGGGGGTGCTGGGGGTAGCAGACTCTCTGGGAAGACAGCTCATGGGGGTGGCTTGTCAGGAGGATGCCTCCCAGGGTGCAGCCTGTGGGGCACGACCTTCACTTCCTCCTGCCCATTGCCACCAGCCTAGAGCAGGCCAGGGGGCATCACTCAGTCCAGGAGAGGGTCAGGCTGCCCACCCAGCCATCCAGGCAGAGTTGCCTCTGGCTGGGAGCTCTCCCCATTCTGCTCATTCCCCAAAGGGTCTCCTGCCCTGGGGCAACACACTACCCAACTCTGCTAACCTCTCCACAAAGAAGAGCAGATTACAGGGAGAGAAAGGGATGCCTGGGGGGCAGAGGAGCGGACCCAGTCCTTCCAGCACACAGGAGTCTCCACCTGGGGTCTCCCTGAACTTCCCAACTCCACTCTCTGGCCTGTGATGCCCAGACCTCAGCCAGCCAAGATGGAAATACACACAAAGGGACCCCCTTGGTCTTTCTGGTTCTAGAGGGTGCTTACCTCTTCTGTGGGCATGTAAGACAGAGTAGATTCTAGGTGGAGAAGGGGTGCCTGGGGCGGGTAAACTGTACTGGGGGCAGGTTCTTGGAGCATCTTTATGCAGGAGTGAAAGGCAGATGAGATGACAGAGAGCCTGAAGGGCCCTGGAATATCGTTGCTCCTGTTCTCTGCCCCCATCCTCCTTTTCTGGATTCCTCCGGGGGCTCTGAGCTGGCACCATGCCAGGCAGACAGAGAGAGAGAGTGCCATCAGTCCAGCAGCCACTGAGTGCAGAATACTGGGTCCAGCCAAGGGGGAACGTAGCAAGGAGACCCTGCACAGTGAGTGTAGATGAAGGGAGGGACACAGGGCTGGCATGGCAACTGAGAAGCCCAGGAGGGCCTCCTAGAGGAGGTGAGCAAGGTCTAGATGGATATAGAGAATGTATTGAAAGGATACTAAGGGATGACCCTTAGTATTTGTGGGCAGGGATGTAGCAGGGGCCTCCCATGGGAGTTTTGGAGCTGTTTGGATTACACCTAAAACATACAGCTGGAGCCAAACTGAAGGCTCCACCAACTCAAAGAAGAGGAAAGTCAGACCTGTGTCTCAAATGCCAGTGATGTTTTTCCACCTCTGAATGCTGGAGGTCAGTGATGGACCCCTGGTCAGCCTTGGAGTTTCTTCACCGGCACCTCTTCTCAGAGCTGCTCTTAACATTCTTAGCCAATAGGGAAATTTCAGAATTCTAGAAATACCTAGACAGGCAGGAGGAGCACATTTGGGAGGGCAGGCCTGTCAGCGTTCAAGCTATGGCTCTCATTGTGCATGATCAGTGGACCTGGTCATTCTGGGGCCCCATCCAGAGCTTGGGGCTGTGAACCCAATGTGTCCACCATCCTCCGTGAGCCCAGACATTACCCAACCCTCCACTCACTGCATCCCCTGAAGTCTCACAGGCCCAGGATCAGCAGTTTTAATGCTCCATTCCTGTATATACTTATCCTTGTAATAAACATTTCTGTAACACCTGGTGCCCTCTGGGCCTCTTGCTGTCCCCGCCTACCTCCACCTTTGCCTGCGTCCGATCCTTCCCCAAGACTGACCTCCATCCCACAGTCTACTGCTCCTGGCCCCTTGCAGCATGTTCTCTAGAGGACCTGCCCACATCCGGGCCTTAGGAGAAAGGGTAGGCGCTCTGGCTTGGAGGACTACTCTGCTGGAAGTAGCCTGGATGCAGGATGATGGTGTGGCATGCATTTGACTCTGCAAGACAAGGTGAGGTCCAGGCTGAAGAAAAATCCATTCTAGACTCGAGAGCCTTGGAGGTCAGGAGGAAGAGACATGGGCCAGGGTGACTGAAGCTCCCCTGAGCTGCCTGGAGCCATCAGGGGTGGACACAGGTACGGGGTCACCAGGACCCCACTCCCCTGATGCCCTCTCTAGAGTCCCTCATACCTCCCAATGGGGGCTGATCAAGCGTGGTGTGGGGAGGAAACCATCTCTGTCTGCCTCAGGCCCCAACCTCAGCACCAAATCCCCAGTATCCTCTCTGTTCCAGGCCCCCAGGAACCTGCCTGGGCTGGCAGAGGGACCAGCCTGGCCTCTAGGCCACTGCATGGAGGGCACTGGCATGCCCACACTCACACATGACTACTTGGAAGACACAGCTCCGCGCACGCGCACACACACACACAAACACACGCCGCACAGACTGGGTACCCCTGAGACAGAGATCACTGCATGATACTCTTTAGAAAATACTCTTGGGAGAACATTCGAGGAGAAGAGCAGAAGGAGGCAGATCTGAACTATGGGGAGGTCAGGCTGCAGTGCTGGCCAAACGACTGTCTGGTCCAACCCGAGGTGGGGCCTGGAGCCAAGGTGCCCTTCAGAGTTGACTCAAGGTGGGACGAAGGGCCAGGCCTCCACTGCAATGGATGGGAGCCACCCAGAAAAGGGCTGTGACCCTTGGGCAAAGTGGCTGTCTTCAGCCGAGGCTGCTCCCAGGGTGGGGGATGACGTGAAGGCTGTTTGCTGGAGGACGAAGCCCGTCATTCCCTCGGGGCCCTGAGCAGCGCAGTCACTGCACCCAGCGCACCCGCCACGCAGCAGCAGGCCTACATCCTGAGGCCGTTACCTCCCCACACCGAAGGCTGCTTCCTGGGAACTCTGGGCCACTGGGCCCACAGGTAGAATAAGCTGAAGGTGCTTCAACCGCTGATAGATGGAAGCTGGTGGACAAATACCCCCAGGTTTTGCGGCGTCTTGATGGAAGGACACCAGCCATGTTCCACCTGCTCTGAGGATTCCCCAGAAGGATGGAGCTTCAGCTACCGGCAGTGGCAATTTAATCAAAAGCACGTCCCTCACTGGTTGCCTTCCTCTCCCCATCTTCTTCCTCATTTTCCTGCTTCCTGGGATCAGCTCCCAATGAACTACCCACAATCAAACCCTTGCCTCAGAGGAACCCTGGGGAACACAAACCAAGATACAGACACACACACACACACGCGCGCGCGCGCGCGCGCATGCGCGCGTACATATACACACAGCATGTGCCTGCCCGCACCTCCGTACACTTGGAAGTGCGTACACTCCAATACACACTTCCATCCATGCCCGTGTGCACACGGGCACAGCCCACACAAGCGCAGATACTGCCTGCACACACTCGCATATGCACACACACACAGAGCACATCCCCATGCTGGGGTGACACAGGAAATGTGGTGGCCCCACCCAGCCCCGCCTGCACTGGGGTCTCCTCATCCCCAGCGGGCTAGTGGGCAGCATGCACTCCAGTCCAGGTCCTGCAGCCCCTGCCTCCTGCCCAGCCACCCTGGACGCTGCTCCATTCCTGGAGACAAAAGAGAAGCAGCCCAACGACTTCCTGTGTTCAACCCAGGTCTTGCTCTCCATGGTCCTCACCCACCCCCTACCCTCAGCAGAAAACTCAGACTCTGCAGAGAAAATGCAGTCAGCAGTAACAGAGCCCCTTGGGGCTTCTCTGACCAGACCCCTCGGAAGGGCCCATCCTGTGGAGCCCGGGCCTGTGCTGATCAGTCCCTGCCATTTCAGCAGGGCCCCTTCCCCTGGCAAGCCAGGGCCTGCCTCTGGGCATGCCTGGGGCACATCAGGCCTCTTGCTTCCAGCTCTGCCTGAGTCTCAGTGCCTGAGGCTCTGGGGAAGCAGGGGGCCGGCAGTTACCCCCCCATTCCTGGCTGGTTCCTCGGGCTGGCAGAGGAGCTGGGAGCAGGGAGGGTCCCCTGGGCATAGGTGCCCGTGATGAGCCGCAGTACCGGCACATCTGTGCAAATATCACCAATTATTTTCCTCACTATAAACACCCAGCAGGAAGGCAGGGAAGCAACCAACCCAAACTGTTTAAAATAGAAACCGAAATTGCTGCGCAGGGAAGTCGGGGCAGCGGGCGGAGTGGGGACTTGTACCAGGAACTGGGGTCTCCCCCTCCAGCTGCCCCTATGGTGCACCTGCTCCCCTCCCCCTGCCTGCAACCCCATCTCAACGTTCTCCTCCACTGGCCAAGTGGGAAGGAGACGGGAAGGGCCATCCCTGGGGGTAGGAGGGTGGGACAGGCCCTCTGCAGGGGAGGGAAGATGGCTGAGGGACAGACACAAAGGAAGCAGAAGCCAGCGGTGGGGCAGCTGGGGCAGAGCGGAGAGGAGTGAGGGAGGGAGCCTCCCTCCGGTGCTCCCCAGGCTGGAGGGGAGGGGCACCCTCGGATAGCAGGCTGGGGACCTTGGGACGCGGGGCCAAGTGGGACCAGTGACCTGCTGCCCACTCTGAATGAAAGGACTTTTCTTGATGGTGGAAAGGGCTAGAAACCAGCTCCCCGGGGGCCTCAGCTGACTTCTCTGTCCCTCCCTCCCCACAAACAGAGCTGATAGACAGCAGGTCGCTGGTACAGTCACACGGGTCATCAGAATGCTGAAACACTTCCTAACCAGTTGATAAACAGGCCCTGCCCCAAGTCCCACGCCCCCCCCACCACCTGGCCCAATATTTCCCTTTCCAGCCTTCCTGGTTCTTCCCCTAGGCCCCCCAGCTGCCCCCTAGAAACTAAAGGGTTAACAATGGGCACAGTAGCCCCCCTCCCCCCAAGTGCTCAGGCAGCCAGAGCTGCCCTGACTGTTAAACATCTCAGATGTCACCCCTGCCCCACCAAGGCATCAACTCTGTGCCCACGGCCTCTCTCCTCCCCTCAGGATGCTCGCCTCTCTCCTCCCCTCAGGATGCTCCGGGGCAGCGGGCTCTCGGCACACCCACTGCTCCTCGGTCTGCATCCCGACTGCTTCCCAGAGATGGTCCCAGCATGTGTCCTGGGCCCAGCCAGTCCCAAGCCCCACCCAGAGGACAGGAATGGGGTGCGCTGAAGCAGGGGTCCGTGGCCACGAGGCAAGGATGTGAATCCTCCGTGCTGCAGTGAGAAGCAGCCCGAGGGAGGATCTGATCACAGTCCCTGATGCTGCGCAAGAGACAACCAGGGCCCAGAGAGGGAGGTGAGCTGCCCAGTGTCACGCAGCAATGGATGAGCCAAACCCAGGCCTCCTCTCCCAGGCTCTGGCGTTGTTGAGCTAGGCGGGTGATGTCTCTGCCGCCTGCCTGCCATGGCGACACTGAAAACCCAGGGAAGACTGCTGCCTCCACTGTGAATATTAACAAACTGCTTCCCTTAGCCTTCTGTCCAGGCTCTCGCCCGCCGGCTTCAAAGGCTGTCCCGGCCAGGCCCTCCCTGGGGCCGACACCTCAGCCCTTCTATTTCGGTGGTGTGGCAGGGCGGGGCGGGAGGGTGAGAGCTTGGTCTCCCCTTGCCTGCCCCCAAGCTCACAGCAGCACCCCTACCCCCCGACCACCATGCTGTCACATTCTTTCTGCAATAGTGGGGAGGCCCTCCTCTGAGATGCGGGGCAGGGGATACCCACCGAGACACTCAGATAGGCTGAACAAAAATAAAAGGAAGTCCTGAGGCCCATCTGCATTTCCGAATACTTCCAACCCACATGCCTTGAACTACTCTAACCTCACTCCCTCTAAAGAGCTGGGCAGACTTCAAAGCTGCTTCTAGCTCCATGAGGGAATGACAGAGATAGACATTCCCAGAGGGCTGGGTGCCCCCAGAGGTGGCCTGGAGCGGGGACAGAGGGGATGGCAGGCACGTTTGCAGCAGTGGGCAGAGCCAGGGGCGAGACGGCAGAGACAGGCCACGCTGACAGAGCACCTTCAGTGCCCAAAGGGCCGCCACTCGGGTTCCCTCCACCACTGAGGCAAGTGTTCTGTCCCCATTTTACAGACTGGGAGAATGGGGCCAGCCAGGCTCTTTCCCCACACGGGTTCCACAGCTCAGTGAACGGTACCATCATGACCTCTGAGCAGCTACCATGGTTCCGCCCTTGTCCCCTACCCACATCACATCTGAGGCCAGCGCCTGGCCATTTTCCCTTCTTCATCCCCTCCAGCCCTGTCCTAACATTTCTGCTCAGAGCCGGCTGGGAGTTGCAGCCTAACACAGTGTTGAAAGCACAGAGTCTGGAGCCAGACTGCCTGGTTTAAATCCTATTTCCTGCTCTGTGCAATTGGGTGCTTTCTCATCTGGAAAATGGGTACCATAATGGTGACTACTGCAAAGTGTTGGTGTGACTATTACATAAATGAATACTTGTAAGGCTTCTCAACAGCATTAGGTGTCTAGTAAGTGCTATGTGCACACCTGGCAACGCAGGAAATGCAGGAGACACAGGTTCGATCTCTGAGTTGGGAAGATCCCCTGGAGGAGGAAATGGCAACCCACTCCAGTATTCTTGCCTGAAAAATCCCAAGGACATCGGAGCCTGGCGAGCTACAGTCCATGGGATCACAAAGAATCGGACATGACTGAGTACACATGCATAAAGTGCTATGTGGACTTTTTTTTTTTGGCTGCACCACGCAGCTTGTGGGATCTTTGTTCCTCAATCAGGAATAGATCCCAAGCCCTCAGCAATGAAACCACAGAGCCCTAACCACTGGA